AGTTCGCAAGGAGAAAGTCAATGGGGACCTTGCAGGAACTCAACGGGTCACGGGTTGTCTAGTCTACAAAGAAAATGCCACGTAGCATAACCAGATTTGACCCTGAAAACTGGCCCAGCATCGACTTCAATGGATCAACAACATTTAATGAGCTGTGGTGGCGCAGTGGTGAGAATGTAGTACTGCAGGCTATTTCTGCTGACTGCCAGCTGCCAATAGTTCGGCAGATCGATTCTCATTGGCTCAAGGTCGACTCAGCTTTCTATCCTTCTGAGGTCGGTAACATGAGGACTCAGATCAGGGGTGAAATGCTACCAGTTAGGACCGGTTCAGCCGAACCGGTAGCGATGGCGGCAGGTGGTTCGGAGAACCGATAGCGACGGCAGCGCGAGCTCCGCCCACCCATCCAGTCATTGTTACTTCCTGGTTAAAACCATGTTTTTTACCCTGTGCGCATGCGCAGAAGGGTTTGCACATGTGCAGAGGGTCCGTGCGCACGCGTGATGCATGCACTTCTGAACCGGTAGGTAGATTTCACCCCTGACCCAGATTGTTGGTGTTGTCACAGGCGTCAGCGGCCTGTGCAGATTGTAGCTGATTCCGACAATGAGGAGGCTGGTGTGGTGCTGCGCCAGAGTCGAGTCGGACAGTGAGGAGGCTGGAGAAGATTTGGTGCCAGAGGCAGGGATTCAGCCAGGGCCTTCAGAACCTCCAGAAGCTCCTTTAAGTGAAGAGGACGAGCCTCTTCTCAATGCACGGGCGCGCAGAGCTGCCAAAAGGCAGGAGTGGCTCCTCAGGAGGAGGTCTCCTCGAGAGTAAGTCTTGGGACTAATTGGCCACTCCCTTAGCCTATTTAAGGAGGAACACCACTTGCAACAAGCTGTAGAGAACAACTTTAGTTCACTCTCCTTCATGTCTGCAAAATTGCTTCTGCGCTTTCTGCCAACTCTAGTAAGACTCTAATTACCTTGTCTTAGAATTCTGGTAGGCTATTAAGACAGTGCATTTTTTTTTTTTTAATTTGATTTATATGCCGCCCTTCTCCAAAGACTCAGGGCGGCTTACAATGTGCTCAGCAATAGCCTTCATCCTTTTGTATATTTATACAAAGTCAGCTTATTGCCCCCACAAACTGGGTCCTCATTTCACCTACCTTAGAAAGGATGGAAGGCTGAGTCAACCTTGAGCCTTGGCGAGATTCGAACCCTACAGTAATTGCAGGCAGCTGGTCTTAATAACCAGCTTAATAACAGGGTGCCTTAAACCCCTGTACTACCAAGGCTCTTCCAAGTGCATTAACTTACTACCAAGTGCATTAACAGCCTTTGGTTGATAAAGACTAAATTATTTGAGTAAAATAAGCTTTGTATAGAGTTTGCGTGTGCTGCGTTCTTTGGGGTCCATAGCTGGGGCAGAACAGGGGGTGGGGGCAAAAAATTAGGTGTGAGGATAAGAGAAACATGTATGTTTTTGCCACTCTTTTCAAAAAGAATGGAGGACAGTCATTTTCCATCACGGAGAGAAGCAACATAGAACTAAGGAGAAATTTCCTGACAGTGAGAACAATTAATCATTGGAACGGTTTATTTTTGGAAGTTGTGGGTATTCCAATACTGGAGGTTTTAAGAAGAGACTGGACAGCCACTTATCTAGAATGGCGTAAGGTTTCCTACCAGAGCAGGGGTTTTACTAAAAGACCTCCAAGGTCCCTTCCAACTCTGTTACTCTGTTTCCTTATTCTTCTAGCTATTTGCTCCTATTTTTCTTTCCAGCTTTATCATCAAGTTCACTCTATGTTCTTTGTTGCTATCTATATCTCTCTTTATTATTTTGGACAACTGCAAGATGAAACTTCCAACACAACAAGATTTAGTTTCCTTATATTGAATCCTCTCACTTGAAAAGGATCTATTTCTGAATGACATGTGTTTGTACTTTGTTTCGGAATGTTTTATGTAGATGTTCAATTATGATAGGATCACCAATCCCATGGAGTCCAACAAGATATATCTTTCTCGCAATTATTCTTTCCATACCCACATTTTCTAATTAAAAGCCATCCATCATTATAGGTTCTAACCAGATTCCAATAAAAATGGGAACTCGGAGAGAAGTTAGGAAATAAGAATTTTGCATTTCCTAGAAGTCTATGAAGTAGAACACTTGGTCTGAAACGTAAACAAATACCTTTGGCACAATCAAGGAAGTTTACAGTTATACAATATGGAGTGTTCCTGTTAAAATGTAACTAATGTGAAAAATGAATGCATAACTAATCAAAGACCGTATTATGCAATGAATGAGAGCAAGGAATGGACTCGCCTGTCACAAGACAGCTACGAGAAGGGACTGCTATTGTGCTCAGCAGAAAGCTAGCTTGGAAAAAAAAAATCAAAAGATGGAGGACTCTTTAATAGCAACATCAAATTGATCATGGGGTCAAGGAGAAGCTTTGAAACGTTTGGCGCATTTCGACTAGGGGAATTTAAAGGGATTGAGGAGGAGCGTAAATCATTTATTAGGTTTATATTACTACCCAGGGTAGGTTTCTGATACAGTTTCTGCAATGAAGTGGCTTCTTCATCATCATTTTTTTTAATTTCAGTGATTATGAATTAAAGTTATGAATTAAATTATGAATTAAAGTTCAGTAAATATAATGGTGGGAAATACTACACACACACACCACAGCACACTGTACTATATACACAGACACCTAGCGACAGAGAAAAATATAAAAAATCCTTTCTCACTCTTATGGGTGGTATGTGTCTTCCTCAATCTAGGGTCCTCTACCATAGGCCTGGGATGGATGGACGGATCAGAGGCCTGGGATGGATAGATGGATGGATGGACGGACAGACCAGAGGCCTGGGATGGATAGATGGATGGACGGACGGACAGACAGACCAGAGGCCTGGGATAGATGGATGGACGGACAGACCAGAGGCCTAGAATGGATAGATGGATGAGTGGGTGGGTGGATGGACAGACAGATGGACAAGAGGCCTGGGATGGAGGGTGGATGGATGGAATGATAGACCAGAGGCCTGGGATGGATGGATGGATAGATAATAGATGATAAATAGATAGAAAGATAGATAAATAGATAGCGTATTTTCCCAAAAATAAGACCCAACCGGAAAATAAGTCCTAGCATGATTTTTCAGGATGCTTGTAATATAAGCCCTACCCCCAAAATAAGACCCAGTTAAGATTATCAGCCAGGTGGATGCATTTAATGCCTTATTTCTCCAAAAATAAGCCCTAAGCAGAAAATAAGCCCTAATGCATCTTTTAGAGCAAAAATTAATATAAGGCCCGGTCTTATTTTTGGAGAAACACGATAGATAGATAGATAGATAGATAGATAGATAGATAGATAGATAGATAGATAGATAGATAGATAGATAGATAGATAGATGATAGACAGACAGACAGACAGACAGACAGACAATCTAACTATCTATCAACAGACAGGCATTCAGGTAAACATCTTCCCATTGTCTTCCTAAGAAGACAGTTTGGAAGGACAATACAGTGAGTAACATAGTAAGGCCAACACTCAGTCAGTGAGAACTCCAGTGGTATTCTGATGAACATGTTGGAGTGGGATTGGGGAGACTCAGGTTCAGATTCTCCCTCAGCCATGGGTAACACTGGACCAATTCTCCCCCTCTGCCCACCTACCAAATGTGCCTTGAACTCCCAGATATGAATCTAACGAAGGAAGAGGAGGGGCACCAAAAGCCACCGAAAACTTCAACAACTAGACAGAGCAATGTATTCCCTCTGTCTGGTCCCTGGCGAAGATCAAATATTAGTACAGTATTTGTGCCCCAGACTCGCAGACTGTAAACACCCATCCAGATAAGCTACTTTGATCCAGAGTTCCCTGGAGCTGGATTGCTATTACGTGGGATTTTGTGTTTTAGTTCAAGATGAATGAAAAGTATTCTTAAGGAACCCCCAATTCTCTTTACGACATCTCTGCTGCAAAAGTTCAGTGAGAAAAAAAACATTTTATCGCATCAGGATGGGCTCTTTTTCCTAAGCATGCTATGGTCAACTCCTCTGAATTTCCTGACCCCTCTGGAGCTGCTTGAAGGTCTGCCACCGGGAAGAGGGCCTCGATTTACTCTTCAAAGCACCTGAAGGCAGGACGAGAAGCAATGGGTGGAAACTGGTCAAAGGGAGATCCAATCTAGAATTAAGGAGGAATTTCCTGATGGCGAGAACAATGAATCAACTCCAGAAGTTGTGGGTGCTCCATCGCTGGAGGTTTTCAAGAAAAGATTATCTGAGATATACCATGTTTCCCCAAAAATAAGACCCTGTCTTATATTTTTTTTGAACCCTGAAATAAGCACTTGGCCTTATTGCCATGCTCTCAAAAGCCCAATTGGACTTATTATCAGGGGATGTCTTATTTTGGGGGAAACAGGGTAGTAAGGACTCCTGCGCTGGGCAAATGATTGGACTAGATGACCTCCAAAGTCCCTTCCAGCCCTCATACAAAGATTCTATTATTCTATAACCGTGATGGCGAACCTATTGCACGCATACCACAGGTGGCACGCAGAGCATGTGCCTCTGCAGGCACGTGAGCCATCAACCCAGCTCAGCTCTACCGCGCATGTGTGCGCACCTCCCACTGGCCAGCTGATTTTCGGGTCTCTACCACACATGCGCGGGGCGCATACAGGGGGGGCACGTGCGCATGCAGGGGTTGCGCACGCATGCACGGGGCGCATGTGGGAGGGGGTCGCGCACACATGCACAGATCCGGGGAGTCATGCATGTGTGGGGGGCGAGGGGAGCACAGGGGGGTCACGCGCAAATGGGGGGGGGGGGTGCAAGGGGGGTTATGGCGCGTACACACGCGCTTTCGGCACACGTTGTTCTATAATGTCTTTCACAGCTCAAAACCGAGATTGCTGAAATGACAGCTCGGCGTGAAAAATCAGATACGAAGGGCAATATTTCTTTCTCACTCTCACCTCTGTGCACCTTGAATGAAGAATTTCCCTTTCATTCTCTTCGTTCTTCCAGCAGTCTGTAAAAAAAAAAAAAAAGTTTTCCAGATATGATGGAAGATAAGATACCTGTGTGGGCCAAAGCACTGGGCACTGCTACCCAAATATCTCCAAAATAAATACTGTGTTTCCCCAAAAAGAAGACCCAGTCTTATTTTCTTTTAGGCCCCAAAATAAGCACCAGGTCTTATTTTCAGGGGATATCTTACCTGCTTACCTTAGGACCACCACAGCCAGGCTTCCCACGCCCCGACACCTGTCACACTGGTGCCCGACTTCTTCTGCGGCTGCTCACAGCCACTCACGGCACTGGCGCAATGTGCCACACGGCATCCTGCCACAAGTGAAGGCACCAGCGTGACGAGCCATGCAGCGTCCTGCCACTCACGGCAGCACTGGCATGACATAGTACACGTCCTGCTGTGAGCGGTGGCACCGGCATGCCACACTGTGCGGGGTCCTGATGTGAGCAGCGGCACTGGCTCAACACACTACACACCTCCTGCCCCAAACAGTAGCATCAGCGCAACGCGCCACTGGGTGTCTGGCTGCGAGTGGCCGCAAGCGGCCGGAGAAGAAGTCACACAGCAGCACAACAGGTGTCGGGGTGTGGGAGGTCTGGCTGCGGTGGTCCTAAGGTAAGCAGTTGTGGAACGCGTGGGACAGCTCCAGCCCCCCTGCCTTAGCTTGGTTTTTACGCATGCACCTAGCCCCACCTTGTATAACCAGATGGTGGGCGGGGCTTAACTAGGGCTTAATTTTGAGGTAGGGCTTATAATTAGGTGCATGTGTTAAAATCAGGCTAGGGCTTGTTTTTGGGGTAGGTCATATTTTCGGGGAAACACAGTAGAAGCAGCAGATATAAACCCCTCTGCTTTGTGAGCCTTTGTGAAATAAAGAAATAAATTATTATTAATCGTAATTCACATTTCTGGGTCCAATTTTCTCCTAATGATTTTGATTAAAAGTGCTAGCAGTTGGAGTCCCTTTCCAACGTGTCATGCTAATTTGCGGAAGATTATATGAGGCCAGCAGAACACAACACCCCCCCCCCAAATTGTGCGCTGTTGAACAAATGATTGGGGGGGGATATAAGCAACTTGTCTTGCTGGCTTATTCTTAATTGCCGATAATGGTTCTGCCATATTTCTGCTCTGAAGAGTTATTGCAAAGTTTTGAGAGTGTTATAGCGCAGGATACAAAGGCCGGCACAAGAGACAAAAGGTCTCTTTGTAACCATCTAGGATTCAGGCCATAAACTTCGCCTCTTCTGCCTGTGAACAGCAGCGCAAAGGTTCTGGAGTTTAGCTATTTGCAAGACAAAAAAAGTACTCAATTAAGTCCCCCCCACCAATTGCCTTTTCTGGAAACCCTGAGGTCAGCCAGATTTCTGCTCATAAACGTTTAACTGTCATTTGCATTTCACTGCAGTGCTGAAGGTTGCCTGGCATTTCCTCTGTTGGCTTTCACTGAGCAGTGGTGGCCAGATTTTTTGCAAGGTGTGTCCAAGTGGGGGTGGCGTTTTAACGTTTTGGGGATCTGCGTGGTTTTGTCTTTTATTCCTCTATCTGTGCTAAGGTTATTTATTTGGTTTTTATTCTGCAAACCACTAGGAGCTGAACTGAGCAGCACACCAATACTGCCAAACAAATATATATGACCTTGTTAGTTTTTGGCTTCAAAGATAATAAATTGGTAAAAATCTAGTTGCTCTTTGACTGTGGACCAGATACGTACGTGGCAAATGAACAGAAATGCTGATTCAATATATCAGCAGTGAAATACAGGTAATCCTCGAGTTACGACAGTTCACTTAGTGACCGAAGTTACGCGATAAGGCCCCCCCCAAGTGTCTACGACAAAGCCCCAAAATTATGAATGTTGCATTACCTCGGCAGTTGTTCGCCCTTATGAATGACCGCAGAGGCACTGCAACATTCACCTTCTCACATGACTTCAGGCACCCATTCTCTGCAAAAGCGGAGATCATGGCCATCAGAACCTTTCACTCTCAGCACGAAAAGCATTTACAAGCTGATCGGACGTTAGAAGTGAAATTGTCCTGTTCTTCTCTCCCTCAAAGGCAAAGAAACCGCAGCAAAGAGAAGACAGATCCTTGCAAGATGAGTCCGGCGGTGGCAGGAAGGAAGGTGGGAATCATGTGGTATCTCAGTGGATCAGGGAGACCTTGGGTAGCCTGTTCCATCACTAGCCCCCCCACCCGGCCCTCCCCACCCTGAGATATCTCGTGCTCTTAATGATTAGCGAATGCGTGGGCGAAAGCAGGGAGTGATTACATTCAAGTGACGTGATTCACTCCTACGAATCCTCAGAGTTACGAATGTAATTGGCAGGCTCTATTACATTCGTAACTCGAGGATTACCTGTACAGTTTTATATAAAAGTGTAAAGACAAATGAAAGATCTCTCCATGTTCCTATTATCTTTAAAAGAAGCCACCAAATTCTCAGTGTACCTATTAATGCAAGCAGGGATGTCACTGGGACTTACAGACAAGATTCAGAAATTGGGGGGATTTTTCTCTTTTAAATACCTACCCACCCCAGCAGGAAAATGAATAAGGAAAATCAAGCATGTTTCCACTGTAGCAGTTTCCACTTTACCAGACCAGTTCTTATAGGAATGCAAAGTTCCATATCCACCCATGGCAGTACAGATAATCCTTGACCTATGACCATAATTGAATCCAAAATTTTAGTTGCTACGTGAGACATTAGTTACATGAGTTTTGCTTCATTTTACGGCCTTTCTTTGCCACAGTTGTTAAGTGAATCACTGCAATTGTTAAGTTAGCAATGCAATTGTTAAGTGAATCTGGCTTCCCCCTTGTCAGAAGGCCGTAGAAGGGGTTCATGTGTCCTCAGGACACTGCAACTGTCATAAATGTGAGTCAGTTGCCAAGCGTCTGAATTTTGATCACATGACCTTGGGATGCTGCAATGGTCATAAGTGTGAAAAACGGCCATTTCACTTTTTTCCATGCCGTTGTAACTTTGAATGGTCACTAAATGAACTGTGGTAAGTCAAGGACTACCTATAACTCTCTGGATGTATTTCTTGAACTGGGAATTCCTTATTGTTCCTTGTCACCCCACACAAGGAAAGTGCTGGACAACACGCCAGCCTCAACATGGCTATCCAGAGAAGAAATGGGAATTCCAAAGTAGGCAAAAAATAAATAAATGTATTTGCAGACAGGAAAATCCTTGACTGATTTTGCAGTGGTGTAGAGAGCTGAGAGTTCAGCTGCACAGGGGTGGAATGGTCTTCCTATCTTTGATCTCTGCTCTATGTCGCTAGCTCACTTCTTTCATTCTGGAATCGTACCAGCCCTGTTCACGAGACCAAATGTGAAATACTAAACGGATACTAAAAAATACTAAATGGAAGGTGCAAAGGGCAACAGGTACATGCCCTTAGCTTGTGCCCCAGCCCCTACGTGATCACAAGCTGAGGAGTACAGAGTACCATGCCATGACACTGTGGCAGCTGATCTCTTTCAGGACACCATGGAAAGAAAAAGAAAGAAAGAAAGAAAGAAAGAAAGGAAGGAAGGAAGGAAGGAAGGAAGGAAGGAAGGAAGGAAGGAAGGAAGGAAGGAAGGAAGTTGTAAGCCATGACAATTTTAACTTTTGTACATTATTCTTGCCTTGGATAGAAAAACATATGTGGAATCTAATGGCACTCTGAGATTTGCAATAAAGATAAGTATAGGTAATCTTCAGGTTATGAGCGTTCCTTAGCGAACGTTCAAAGTTACGTGATAAATGACCCGTAGCATTTTCAAACAAGTCCCGTAACTATGAATCTTGCAGCACCACAGCAGTTCTTTGCCTTTATAACAACCGCAGTCTCTGCAACATTTGTCCTGAATGTTGCCGGCTGAAATGGAGCTTCGGAGAGGCAGATCCCCACCTCAGAAGCTCCCTTTGGTCCTCATGCTCCCCACAATTACTCCCCCCCACAACCTGCCGCACCAGGTCACTTACCTTGTGAAGACAGTCTCCTCTCCAGCCTCTCAACTGCATGCACCCCTCTACAGTTCCATTCGGGATTCCGTAGGCCTCGCCTAGCAGGTTGACGGCCGAAATGGAGCTTCTGAGGGGCAGATCCGCCCCCCGACACTCCATTTCGGCCTGTAATGTGTTGGGGGAGCCCTGCGGAGGCCAGAACGGTGCATCGGTGGGCCGGATCTATCCCTTGGAAGCTCCATTTTGGCCTGCAACAGGCCGGGGGAGGCCTGCAGAGGCCCGAAGGGAGCATCAGGGGGTGGATTCGCTGGGAGAGGCCTGAATGGAATTGCAAAGGGGTGCACATGGCTAAGAGGCGACTGCTTGCTAGATCTTCACAAGGTAAGTGACCCGGCGCAGCAGGTTGGGGGGATGAAGCAATTGTGGGGAGCATGAGATGTTTCATTGGGGTTGGGGAGGCCTTGGGTGGTCTTACGCAGGTGGCCTGTTCCATCAGTAAGCCCCCCATGGGCTTTCCCACTCTGAAATACCTCATGCGCACTTAATGAGCCTCACATTTGATTAGTGAATGCATGGGTGAAGGGAGGGAGTGATCCCTTTCCATCTACAAGATTCACTCCCACGAAACTTCGGGTTACGAATGGAATGGGCAGGCTCCATTTCATTCCTAACTCGAGGACTACCTGCATATGTGGTTGTGTTAAATGATTGGGGTGTTTTAAATCTGTCTGGGCCAAATTTGTTTAATTTGGTTTTATTCTGTTTTTTAAATTTTATATTTATGTATTTTATTGTTTGGCTGTTCACCGCCCTGAGTCCTTCAAGAGTAGGGTGGTATATAAATCAAATGAAGACTAAAGACTAATGCCTTATGTCTCTATATGCAGCCTTATGTGATTAATGACACATGTCAAGTACAATGATAGCCTAAGTGGATTAGGCCCTCTCTGTCATTTCTTTCTTCCCTCTAACAGGAACTGAATGTAGGCTGACCTACACATTCTCCAGTAACCTAGGCCACACTTCCT